ACCTAGTTGTAGACTTCTTTCTTAAAGTGTAGACCTACGAAGGACAGAATCGTAAAATATACTGCACGTTTTTTGTTTGTTCATAAGGGTTAAATAGTAGTTTTAACACCCCTTTAGGTTGGGTTTGCAATTGATTGAATAAGGGGTGCACCTTTAGGGTTAAAATGAATATTTGGGTTGGTTTTGGCAATTCCCCCTTTAATTTTCTCAAACACGTATTTTCTTTCTTTTTAAATGAACTTTTATTTTATTATGATTAATTCATGTTTAATGTTTAACTATATAAAATGTAAAAATAAATTTAATTTAACGTGTGAGTTCAGAGATGAAAAAATAGCTTCACAAATATATATCATTATATTATATTATTATATTCTTTTAATTCGAAAATAATTAGGTACTATAATTTTTTCAATTTTCTCTTTTCAATTATATACAATTAAAAATTTACTTTATGAATATTTATTTTTGTGTTTTCTGTTTTTGATTTTTTATTAAAATATATTTTCCGGATAACAACACAATATATATATATAGGAGTTATCTTTTTTTTATTTTTAAATATATATTTAGATTATGGATAATTCTTATCATTATTATTAATTTAAATCATTTCTCTAATCAAATAAATATCAGATTCGTTTTTATTTTGGCTGATTTATATATTTTATCCATTAAGGGTATAAACGATCTTAACCACTCCAACTTTTAACGTGAGAGCTCCGTTGCGAAAAATCACTTTGCAAATAATAGTATAGACTAGCACCTACTGGTTTTGTGGAACCGGTTATCTATTTTTTTTTTCTAGAGGGATGTTAAAGAAGACTGTAATTTATGAATTGTGTACAAGTAGTTTAATAGGTTAATGGTGATGATTGGTTCGACTGTAGCTGTAAAAATTTAGCTCTAAGAGTTTAGCTATAGTTGTAAATTGTTACTGTAGATTTTTTTTGCAGAGACTTTTGCTGTAGTTAAGTTTGTTGTAGTTATAAGCTATATGCAGTAGGTATTTTAAGATTAAATATGTGAAAATATGTGATATATATATATATATATATATATATATAAATAAAACAATTATTTTTATCAATTTGAACAATTTATATTAATATTTTAAATAAATTATCAAAATTTATTTAAAAATGTGATGTGTAAATAATATTTATGTTTTTTTAAATAGTTCAATAATTTAAACCCCCCCCCCCCAAAAAAAAATAAAAATAAAATAAATTAGAACATTTATAGATATTTTTATTATGATTATATAATTTACTTGATATTATAGATTTTTTTTTATTTGACAGATTCTACAGTCTAGAAAAAGGATGTAGAACTTTTACTTAAAATACATTCGAAAAAATTGCTTCAGTTTTTTTTTGCTGTAGCTTAAAAATAAAGTTAAAGCATGATTGGTAAAAATTAGTATAAACATGATGTAGACTTTAACTTTTAATAATAAAGTTAAAACATGATTGGTAACGACTAGTGATTTAAAAATAAATAAAACTAAAGTAAGGAGATAAATCCCAACCAATAGTATGCGGATTTAGACATATATAGATATGCAAATCACAACTCACGGTGGGCTAGTCCGTACGAACCTAAATTAAATCGAATCAATGGTGTATCAAACTATTTATTCACCACTTAGGTCTGATTGGTATGAACTTTCACTTTATATTGTTGCATTAGAATGTTGGCTGTAGAGATTTTGACGGTTAAAACTGTTAGTATTATTTTAATTATTGAAAAGTCAAAATTAATAATCGAGATCATCAAAATAATGAATAATATTTTAACATTTTCATTAGAAATATAAAATTATGATAATAATAAAGAAAAAAACATATAGGAAACCAAAAGTTATACAATATGGATATCAAAATAACAATAAATAAATAACGATGAATAATTTATCAAAAAAAATTATAATAAAATTAATATAAAGTAGAGTAAGTATTTTAGTTTTTTGGGAGGGGGGAGGAAAAAAAACTATTTTTACAATAAAATAAAATAAAATTATGATTTTTACTTATAAAACCACGTGAACGAGGTTGTGTTTTTTTATTTGAAAAAAGAAGAAAAAGAATGGGTTTGAGAACATTAAAGCATCTTTAGACCAACCGCAACGGTAAAAATATTTGGTCCTTAGCATTTAATCCTTAGCTTAGGGAATATAAAAATAGTATTTTGGCGAAATAAGCTAAGGATTAATCCTAAACTAAGAATTAAATCTGGTTGATCCTAAACTACGTGGCAAAGGGTGAGTGGTTGGGTCGGTTTTTGTGTTTGGGTAAGGGGGAAAAAATTCATTTCGCACGAAGGAGAAAAAAAAAAGAGAGAGCTCTCGAGAGAAGGCGATTTGGGGCGATTTCAATCTGTGGCGAGACCAAGGTAAATCGAAGGCTTCTCTTGCAGATTTATGAGTTTATATTAGGTTGGGTGTTGTTTTCCTTTAATTTTACCGTTTGGTTTTGTGTTTTCAACGATTTCGAAAAAAATTGGTTTCAAATTAGGGTTTCAAGAATTGGGGATTTCAATCGATTTGTTGTTTAGTTAGGTTGGATGTTGTTTTCCTCTTATTTTACGGTTAAGATTTGTGATTTCTCGCAATTTGGGGATATTTTCATCTCAAATTAGGGTTTCAAAGATTGGGGATTTCAATCGATTTGTGGTCTAGTTAGGTTGGATGTTGTTCTCCTCTCATTTTACGGTTGGGTTTTGTGATTTCAAGTAATTTGGGTTTCAATCGATTGGGGGATAGTATCGTCTGTAGTTAGGTTTCAAAACGATGAGGTTTCAATCGATTAGGGTTATACTCTGGAGTCATCTCCCTCTCTTTATGTGCTCTGACTCTGCTGAGATTTAGGGTTTCAGTTTCAATCCATTTTGTTTCTTGTTTGCAGATGGCGAATCAACATGAACCTCACTTCTTGAAACCTCTGCTTCCTGGTTTCTACAGTGGCGTGGTATACACTGAATCTCTATTTCTCCTCTGTTTATTATGTCATTTGCTTAATTTCTCCTTTGTTGACTTGTAGACAATACCACTTGCCTTCTACTCAAAACACATAGAAGGCAAGCCGAACTAAGGAAAATGGACACTACAATCGGGTACTTCACACAAAACTTGGGAAGTTATACAAGAAGGAAGAAGACTCACCAATAGTTGGAAAGCCTTCGCCAAAGCACACTCCCTTCGCATCGGTGACATTGTCTTGTTCAAAAACCAGAGACCAACATAGTAGGGATTCGAACATCAAACTCAAAACAAGTTAACTCGTACTAATTGTATCATCAAGATTCAAGATAGATCATATCCAATCCAAGCTAGGAACACTCCATTGTCCTGCTCTGATGTCTTTTTGTATAGATTCCATATACGGTAAACATCTTCAATTAGATTATTGGACAGATTGTGTCCATATTGCCCAAAACCCACTAACGCCTTGATTTTGTGACTCTTGTTCAGTTATAGACGTCGTAAATGGCTATAACTAGAATAAGCTCATTTATATTTAGACACAAACGGTCCATAGTCATCCCACCCATTTGACAGCTTTATTTGTTGCATGGAACTCATACATAATCTCCAATATTTAATATTCATAGCATTATTTTAAAAATCACTCATAAAAAATTTCTAAAACAAGTATACAACTTTATTACTAGAAATTTTCCAATTAAAACAATTAAAAAAATAAAAATAGGAGAATTGATGTTCTTTGAGATATCTCAATAAAAACGAAAAAAAAAATCTTAAAAAAAAAGAGAAACATTTATAAATTAATAACTCTATAAACTAATAAAATATTGTATTCACAACATTGAACTTTTAACGTGACAAGAAAAAAAGGTATATCAATCCATATAAAGAAGCAGGGGGAGTGGATACACACAACCATAGCATGGCCAAAGAAAACGCTAAGTAGCGGTCGTTAGCTGCAGCAAGCAATATCATGAACATAGCAATCAGAAAACAGATACCCAGCACCACACCCATCATATCTTTCATAAACATCTTAATCTTCTCACCACCTTTCTCGCCATAACGATAGATAACCAAACTCTTCTCTTGTGCTCCTTGTACATCGAACTCTTCTCCTCCTGATGATTGTTCCCACTCTCCACACATCTCTTGTACATCACCAAGCTTCAACAAAGACTTAACCACACTAATATACTCCTCATTACCCATTTCTCCTATCTTGTTCCTTACACTCAAAGCGTTGTTCATTGTGACATTATCCAACTCTATGTTCTTCTCCTTCATCTTCCTTAGAAGTTTCTCAATCTCAACTCGTTTCCCTAGCACACTGTAGAGAGATATCATTGACTTAAATGGTGAAAGCTTGGAGAGGAAACCTAACTCTCCCATCTTCTCAAAGATAGCTTCAGCTTTACTAACGTTTTGGTAAGATCTTGTGTGCATGTTCAAGAGTGTGGAGTAGACAGATTCTCCCTTCATCTTCTCAGGGATGCTTGTTTCGAAAAACTCACCAGCTTCTTTCAAACCCAACTCTTTCTCAGTAAGATTAAGCAGATTTGCATAATCTTCCGGACAAAGACCAATCACTTCTTGACATGAAGATGCATCATGATCAAGTGCTTTGGTAATTGAATCTTGAAGGTTCTTGATGAGGTCTATCAACTCTGAAGGCTTCACTTGATTCCTCCCCAACTTCCCCCACTCTTCTAGAAACAGAGTGATTGGTTTATTACCATATCTTATGTTCTCTAAAGTCTTTGGCAAATCAAGGCTATAAAGCTTAACGTTCTTCTCATTCATCTCTCTCAGAACCTCATCTACCTTACTTCGGTTCCCAACAGAGATGTAGAGCGACATCATAAAGGTCAACGGTGAAGGTTTCAAGATCAAACCTAACTCTCTCATCTTCTTGACAACATCGTCTGCTCTATCAACATCTTTCTTCCCTCCAGACTCGTTTCTAAGATTCTTCAAGAACTTGTCTGCTTCTTTAAACCCTAATACTTTCTCGGTTAGATGAAAACGTGTTGTGTAGTCTTCAGGTACCAAACTGCATATCTTATGTTCAGTCATCCATTGTGATACCTCTAGGGCTTGAGGATATTGCTTGGAGTCTCGGAGCTTCTCTAAGATTCCTCTCACGATTGAAGGGCTTAGCTTGTTACCTTGTTGTCGCCATTGCTCAAGAACCGTACTGATCTTTGCTTTCTGATGTAAAGCCGATTCGATCTGACTATGTAGAGTTTCATTCGATGTCCATAGGGTTTCGTTTGTGTTGGAGCAGAAGAGACGAGCGTTGCTACGACTGTGAGGGAGAATACGCCTTGCGTATTGCTGAAGATTGCGTATTGCTGAAGACTACGAATCATCATGATGATGTTCAAGGTTCAATGTATGAGAGAGAGCTTAGGGTTTGTGTCTTCAATACGTCTTGCGTAGGGCCGGCCAGTAGGGTTGGGCATTTTCCCATATCCAAACTCATACCCGATCTTAGACCGGAAATATCCAAACCGAAGTAACAAAATACCGGAAAGGAAATTGAATTAGGAGAGATTGAATATCCGAATCCGAGTGGATAATATTTGAACCGAATGGATATCCGAAGATAATTGAACATATGCATATGTATGTATACACATTTTATTCAAAATATTTATATTAATATTATATATAGCTTAATATCATATAATATATATAATTGTGAAAAAATGATTTTCTACTCATTTAAAATACATGTTAAGTTCCTTATTTTATATTTTAACAAAAATTTCATTTAAATTTAAAAATAACAAACAAATTAATGATTTTCTATTTTCAATAGTTTATTTCAAACTTATTAATCGTCCAACCTATTAAAAATTTTAAAATAGTTAAATTAATAGTAAAATTTTAAATATATGTAACTTGAGCAGTGAAGAATTTTAATTTTTTCTTTCAAAATCTAAATACCTGAAATTCAATCCAAAATAATCGAACCCGAACTAAAAATATTCGAACCCGACCCGATATGTAAAAATACCTGAATGGATACTAAACTCTAATACCGAAATATCCGAAAACACGAAATAACCGATCTGAACCCGAATGGGTACCCGAACGCCCATCCTTACCGGCCATGATCATGACCTTATGAACTGAGAAAAACTGGATATTAATCATGATTAATACTCTTTATGTTTCATAACAAATGTCATTTAGATTTAGATTCGTACACACAACTTAAAGAAACAATTAAGTTTATACATTTTCTGTATAAAAACACAATTACCTATGTTCCTAAAGCAACACTTAATATGAAACGGAAAGAATAAATTAATTTTGAATATTTTTGTGACCCAATTTGCCAATAAGTGAAGTGTATGGAGTGCAAATAAATTTGAAAGATATTCTAAAGCCCATGAAAGGCCCAGCTAACATTAGTGAACACGTGGCGACTTCGCAACATAGAGCATCAGGAGATTGCAAACACAAGAGAACGTGAAGAGAACAATCTCACCACTTCATCCATCGCCACTCAACCGATTCAGATTCAAAAATCATCTCCTGAGAACGAACACTCTTCATCACACACACCCCAAAAAAGCTAACAACAAATAATGGCGGCGGATCCAAACCCTAAAAAGTTCCCCGTCCTCTCCTACGTCTTAGCCCGCCTCCCTACTTTCACCTCCCCCAAATCCTCCTCCCCTTCATCCTCCTCCGTCCCCGCCTTCGATGTCGAGCAGCCACAACCCTCCTCAATCGAGATCGTCACACAGATGCCTCACTTAACGGAGCCAGGCGTCCTCGCGTCGATGACCAAAGCCATCACCGACGTCGCCGAGACCCGATCCATCCTCCGAACCCTAGGTCCCCGACCCGATCACGAGTCCGTCGACAAGGCGCGTGCCAAGCTTTCCGAGATCGAGGGGAGGTTTTCGGAGTCGTTTGAGGACATCGCGTTGAACGAAGGAGCGGGGAAGGACGAGATTGAGAAGAGGAGGGAGGAGATGGATCAGGAGAAGACTTGGTGTGAGTCGGTTTTGAAGCTGGATGAGGTTCATGGTGCGTATGAGAAGATGTTGAGTGAGGCGGAGGAGAGGTTGGTTAGGATTTATGAGTTTGCTGAGAAGAAGAAGAAGGCGGAGGAAGGGGAGGGTGAAGGGGAGGGGGAGGGTGTGGTGGAGGAGGTTAATGAGGAGGTTGTGGGGATATTGAAGGAGGCGATGGGGAATACGGTGGAGAGGGTTGATTTGTCTGGGAGGAAGTTGAGTTTGTTACCTGAGGCGTTTGGTAGGATTCAAGGGTTGCTTGTTCTTAATCTTTCCAATAATCAGCTTAAGGTTTAGTTCTTGTTCCCTTTTGAGAAACGGAAATTTAAGAATCAAGATTACAGTTTGCTGCATTTTTTTGTGAGTAGGATGAGTTTGAATATGTTTATGGCTTCTATATATGTTAAAAGATGCAACTTTTGTGTAAGATCCTATAGGTTTCGAGGATGTGGTGAGGTAAATTGATTGGGGGCGTTATACAGTCGCTGATGAGCAAGCAGTTTAGTAAATGATAATAAGGAGTGGTCATAAGATTACTAGTTGCATTTAGTTCTGGCGTTATTCTAGTCGTGACGAACAATGCTTTTTTCTGATGTGATTCAAAGACATTGTTGTATCAAGATCATTGTTGTGAGTAGGATGAGTTTGAATCTGTTAATGGTTTGTTAAAAGATGCAACTTTCGTTTAAGATCGTATAGCTTTGGGAGTTTGTTAGTCTTTAGTGATGGCGTTGATGAGCAACGCCTTTAGTAGAAGATGTTAAGGAGTGGTCACAAGATTACTAGTTGCATTTGGTTTAGGCCTTATTCTAGTGGTGACGAACAATGCTTTTTTCTGATGTGATTTAAAGACATTTTGTATCAGTGATGTCTAGTCTGATGTTAAAAGGTGCAACTTTCGTTTAAGATCATATGGCTTTGAGAATGTGGTACCGTAAATTGATTGGGGGGGGGGGGGCATTGTACAGTCGCTGATGAGCAAACTATTTAGTAAATATTGATAAGGAAGGAGTGATCACAAGATTGCTAGTTACATTTGGTTCTGTGCTTATTCTATTGGTGACGAACAATGATTTTTTTGATGTGATTCAGTGACATATTGTATCAGAGATGTCTAGTCTGATACGAAATTAAGAGATTCCGGTCATACGTGTGCTTGTCTTTGATTTGCGTTTGAGATTTTTGCCGTTATAGATTTATAGTAAGATGTTATTTTAAGAGATTCTACATTTTTTTTTTTTTTGTGCACTTAAGAGATTCTACATATCTGCTTGTTTTTGGTTCTGCCATTTTAGTAAAATCTGTGTTCGATAAGTTAATTATATAAAGGAATAGGTTCAGGTATTGCTAATAGGTTGATTCACGTTCTGAAAGGAATGCTACTGATGTCCATGCTATCGGTTTCTTTGATTGTTCTGAGTTAAAGTCTATAGCTCCAGCTGCATTAGTTTTCTTGATTTATCAGATAAAAAAAATAAAAATTCAAAAGAGTTTCACTAGTCTTACCTGACCGAGGTTTATTCTTACCTGACCGAGGTTTATGTCCAACAGGCTATTCCTGATTCAATAGCAGGACTGCATGGTCTTGTTGAATTAGATGTCTCCGGGAATCTTCTGGAGACATTACCAGATTCTATCGGTCTACTGTCCAAACTGAAGATTCTGAATGTCTCGACTAACTCGCTCACCTCCTTGCCTGATTCCATCTGCCGTTGCGGGTGCGTAATACTTCACTTTGTCGATTAGTTTTTTTGTTTTTTGTAATAATTATTAACCACTTTCTTTCACCAAATTCTCAGGTCGTTGGTTGTGTTGGACGTGAGCTTCAACCGACTCACCTACTTACCAACCAACATCGGATTCGAGCTAGTGAATCTAGAAAAGCTCATGATCCAATACAACAAGATCCGTTCCTTGCCGAGCAGTATAGGCGAGATGAGATCCCTAACATACCTCGACGCCCACTTCAACGAACTTCACGGCCTTCCTGACTCTTTCGTCTTGCTCACAAACCTAGAGTACTTAAACCTAAGCAGTAACTTCAGCGACCTCAAGGATCTCCCTGCCTCATTCGGCGACCTCATTAGCCTCCAGAAACTGGACTTGAGTAACAACCAAATCCACTCCCTCCCCGACACTTTTGGCACTCTCGAGAGCCTGGTGGAACTGAATGTGGACCAGAACCCGCTCGTGGTTCCACCGAAGGAAGTGGTGAATGAAGGTGTGGAGGCTGTGAAGTTGTATATGGGTCAGAGAAGGATCGCTATGTTGGAAGAAGAAGAGAGGAAGAGATTGGAGGAGGAGATGGAGCAGGCGAACGCAGGGTGGCTCACAAGAACCACCTCGAAGCTGAAAAGTTATGTCTCGGATGTTTCTGAGTATCTCAATCCGACTTCTCCTCGAGACCCTTACCTTGAGAGGGAACTATGAATGTGACTTTGGCTTGAAGAAACAATGGTTTCTGCTCTCCTTTTGGCTGGTTTTGTCTCATATTGTCTCTTCTCAATCAGAGTATATAATGAAGGGTTCTCTCTTCGTTACGTTTGTGATTCTTCTTTTTTTTTGTGATGGGTTATGCCTGTCATTATACTTAGGTTCATTCTCAAGACGAACCTTTTTGGATTTTGCCGGTTTTAAAGAAAAAAAAAACTAATGTTTTGTGGGGGTAATAAAAGCTCAAAGGAGTCTAACTGAGTTTTGTGTTTGAGCTTTGTGTATCTCTTTTCTGGTTGCTTTCCTTTGTTTGATAATTGCATCAGACTATGAGTTAATGCTGTATGACTAATTTAATATGTGAGAAACATGCAACGATCTACCTCTTACGTTTCTGCGAGTTATGTGCAAAACGGGTTATGAATGCGTCTTGGGTCCGTTGTGACTTAAAACATCGCTGTTAGACCTCCAAGCGTGTTGTAAAGACTGAAAATGTAAGGTTCATAAACTTAAGTTTCAAGAAATGGACAGCCAGCTAGAGCCTGCGATTTGGAAAATTGGAAGGGATTCAAGGATGTCGGTCCTAATTAATACAGTAACGGTTCTTGAACAGAACTTGTCCGTAGAAGCTATAGCGGGTAATCTTGAGGGGCCACTTTATCGTCTAATGATTGTTCATATAATAAATCATTCAGCACGTTGCGTTAAGTCAATAGACAAGATCGTGCCCTAATGCGTGCATGGCCATGAACTGATAATCCACTTCACGATCCCAAATCCCGTGTTTGGTGAGACAATATCCCTGTAATAAACAAGATTTTCTAAATGACAAGAAAGTCGTATAAAAATTAGCATATACTCCTTCTATTATTACTACAAACAGAATATTTGTAACAAATGAGACAATTACAACATGGGAATCGAAAAATTGACATTTCAACAACTTGTCTGTAACTACCTTATTTTGCTTTCCCTTAACTTTAACTATTTAATTCATTTGATGTCAAAAAAAAAAACTATTTAATTCATTTTAAAAAAGAATATTATAGCATTAGTTTTTTTTTCACCTAATGATTGTTATTGCATATGAACTTTTATGCGTCCGAAACTCTATTCTTGAATATCAACCTATTTTTCCAATCCTTGAAAATAAACATAAAAATTGCGTAAAATGCACCAACCAAACCAAACCTAACCGAGAATCCGTAATCTTTATATTACTACGAAGAAGCTAAGAGAAGTCATAAACAGGCAAGTCAGATGTTCATAAATACACTCTGATTATTATAAAATGCATTTAACGAAGAATTAAATTAAAATCAACGGAAACTAATATATAGTAAATACACAAACACATAACGCACTTAAACACACATAACGCGTTTTCCATTTTTAGTCCCCCCCCCCCCCAAAAAAAAAAAAAAACTCTGATTAATTGACCTTTCCTTCTTTCTCCATCTTCTCCATCTTCACTCTTCCACAAATCACACTTTCTCCAAAATCCCAGATTCCATCATTCCTCCGTGGACTCGATCCAAAAAACCAACTAAAATCTCCCAATCAGATCTCGTGGTTTCCAACAACAAACAACACACCAAATGAAGATGGCGGCCAACGGCCGATTCTTCACAATCGGGATCGTGGCGTCATGGTACTCCTCGAACATCGGAGTCCTCCTCCTCAACAAGTACTTACTGAGCAACTACGGGTTCAAGTACCCGATCTTCCTCACCATGTGCCACATGACCGCCTGCTCCCTCCTCAGCTACGTCGCCATCGCGTGGATGAAGATGGTCCCTATGCAGACCATCAGATCCCGCGTCCAGTTCCTCAAGATCGCCGCGCTGAGCTTGGTGTTCTGCGTGTCGGTGGTGTTCGGGAATATCTCGCTGAGGTTTCTGCCGGTTTCGTTTAACCAGGCGATTGGCGCGACGACGCCGTTTTTCACGGCCGTGTTTGCGTATTTGATTACGTTGAAGAAGGAGGCGTGGTTGACTTATGTGACGCTTTTGCCTGTTGTCACTGGTGTTGTTATTGCTAGTGGGGTAATGACTTTGATAAAATGTGGTTTTTTTGTGTTTTGTGGTTTTTTGAGTGTGGTGTTGTGTCGGTGATGAAGTTGCTAAGCTTTAGGGAGATGTGTTGACATCTGAATCTTAGGTAGAGTAATATTCTGGTATATATATATATACCTGCATTGCTCTGAGCATGAAGCTGCTGATAACTTCCTTACTTTATCTCAGTTACTTTTTTTTTTTTTTGGAGCAATTATCTCAGTTACTTGAAAAATGTGTTCTTAGGGTTTGTTTTTTTATTTGACTTATGAGTATTGAAAGATTGAAATGTGATGTTAGTGACTGATGAAGTTACTAGCTTTAGGGAGATGGTAATGTGGAAGAGAGAGGCATGGAATCTGATTGGTTCAGTTTCTTATGTGAATATTGATAGCTCATAAAGTCACTAGCTTTAGAGAGATGTGGTGACCTCTGATTGATTCAGTTTCTTGATGTGAATGTATATATATACCTGCATTGCTCTGAGCTTGTAGCTGCTGAGTTCTGATAACTTTACTTTCATCTCAGTTACTTCAAAAATGTGCTGTTGGGGTTTGTATGTGAATGTTGTTAGAAATCTTAGGGGTAGGTTAAGGTTAATATGTATATACATTTACAATGCATCTTAGAAAACGTTTTGGATCGCTCTGAGCTTGAAGGTACTGAGTTCTGAAAAGTTCCTTAATTTGTCTCAATCGCTTCAGAATATAAACGTTATATGTAGTGAGTTTTACTTTAGAAGAGAAGTTGTTTCTATGTGTTTGTGGACTGTGGAGTATGTTTACTCTTGAATCTGTTTGATTTCATTTGGAGTTTTACCATTTGTATTGATTTGACCCTCTTATCTGATTGTCTTCTTTGTTTTCATGATTTGGTCAGAGTGAACCAAGTTTCCACCTGTTTGGATTCATAATGTGCGTTGCAGCCACAGCTGCTAGAGCCCTTAAATCAGTTCTGCAAGGGATTTTGCTATCTTCAGAAGGGTAAGAGACAATAGAATCATATTTTTAGAAGTCTCTATTTGTTAAGAGGGCTGCTGAAAGTGTTAATATTGAATTTTATTTGAAGGGAGAAGCTAAACTCCATGAATCTCCTCCTCTACATGGCTCCCATAGCTGTTGTATTCCTTCTTCCTGCTACCCTTATCATGGAGAGAAACGTTGTTGGCATTACAATTGCACTCGCCAGAGACGATTTTAGAATCGTTTGGTATCTGCTATTCAATTCTGCTCTCGCTTATTTCGTGAACTTGACTAATTTCTTAGTCACGAAACACACCAGCGCTCTGACTCTCCAGGTAAAAAACTGTCCATCTCTTCTCTGCATTACCACTTCTTCCTCTAAACATTAATAATTGAATCAAGAACCTTCTTTATGACAGGTGCTAGGAAACGCCAAAGGAGCAGTAGCAGTGGTGGTTTCCATCCTAATATTCAAGAATCCTGTCTCAGTGACTGGAATGTTGGGTTACTCGTTAACGGTCATTGGAGTAATCCTCTACAGTGAAGCCAAGAAACGAAGCAAATGAAGTTAAAGAAACCTCTTAATTTTTGTTTGTTAGGTCCTTTCAGGTAAAAAAACAAGGCAAAGTTTCTTTTGTTGTGAACAAAAACATCTTTGGACCAGAGGCAAAGGATGTGTAAAGCAGCAACACCAAAGGATCGAGAGTATCATAAGCAATAAGTGATTTTGTTTCCTTTTTTGTTCTTTTTATTTTTGTTTATGGATCTTCCACAGCTTTTGTCATAGGTTGTTCTAAGAGTAACTTTGATGTAGCTTCCTTTTTTGGGGTCAATTCTTTACATCTACTTTTGTGATATCAACATTTACAACACTGATTAATTAATGGAAACGTTTTTTTTTCTTTCACCTGTCTTTTTTTAACACAATTTGTTTTCACCTGTCTATGAATCAAACTTATTATGTTCTGAATTCAAATCACTTTTTTTTGTAACTTTTGATCCTAAACAGAAACTTACACTGCTGTTCATGTGGTAAAGAACTTTAGAAACAACCGTAAAAGCTTTGATTAATAAGATAATGAGATTTCTCTAATTGTATGTGTTCCACAAGTAGTTGCAACACAAACAATTGATCTCTGAACGTGTCCTAATAGAAGATGTATGGTGGTTCAGAAAATGAGAAAAAGACATTGAAAAGAATGATAGAAAAGATGAAAGAGGAGGAGGGAATGTACAAAATTATTTGAGATGAAAGCATTAATCAAAAATCAATCATCACTATCACTTTCACCAGCTTCATCTTCTTGAGCTATCCAGTAATTGTTCCCATCCGGGCCCCAAACCTTGTACCTGTCAAGAACATCAAACACATCTATCATCTCAAGCTCAAGAAAAAAAAAACAGCAATTAAGTTGAATAAGTGTATTTACCTTTCTAGAACAGATTTGCCTTCCTTGTACTTTTGATTCTTCTCAAAAGCAAACTCCTGAATAACAAAACAAACAAAAGGTTGATGATACCAAGAAACACTAGTTACCTTCCAAGAAAGAAACATTTGAAGTTTTGCTTACATATCTCCATCCAACATCAGAGCCACATTTGACACAGTAAATATCAACGACGGTGTGCAACCCTGTCATCATCATCCTATCTTCCTTCTTCCCAGCATACACATTCGCTCTGTCCACACACAAAAATCCACCACTAGTAAAAAAAACTGCATAAGCTTCGTGTCAGAACTTTGACCATATAAAAGTAATCCAATTATCCAAAGGCGATCTTCTGCTTTCGGTCAGGAGGATAAGAAAAAAAAGAAAAAAACACAATGAGAGTAGATTAACTTACACCTTACTGAAGAGGTAAGCTTTCCCATGCCGTGATTGAAAAGACTGTAAAAGACCAAGCAAACATAGACGTTGTAAGTATCTTCTATACACAAACCTTTAAAAGTTTTGTGAGTCATAATTACTAAATATTAAGTAATCAGAATTGCATTTTAGCAATCAAATCCACACAGCTTCGGCACCAATAAAATCATAAAATGTGATTGATAGTCTCAAGATCAAGAAGCCATAGAAAGATTAACAATGACTGAATCATAGATTGATCTAATTATATGACAGTGTCTAGACCCAATTCTCCTGATTTAACATAATAAATGTATTCATGATCGATAATATTAAGAGCTTTGATCATAATACAATGCAATGCAACAATATGATTATCCTCTACAATAAGTTTAGAGAATATGATTTGTGTAATCATCAGATCATAAAATCTTAGTGAGAAGAAACCAAACTCCCACACACACACACGAGTGATTTGATTAAGAGATAAATAGCAGAACAAGATTTTAGCAGTAAAGAAATGAAAAAAAAACCTTAGAGACGACATCATCGCAGAGAGCAATATCAGTTTTGCAGTGACGACAACAGTAAGACTTGCCTTCCAAATCCACCAAGAACAATCTCCCCATCTTCTTTTTTTCTCCAGTAATCGATCTTACAAGTAGTGGAGAAGGAACCGATCTTTATATATTTATAACACTAATCAATGAGATCATTAATTACGGAACAAGGCGTTAGGATTATTATTATTTTTGGGTGAAAGAAACGAGAGAGTCTATATAAATTGGAGAAAATTCAGAGGTGTGTGTGTGTTCGGTATTTTTTTAAAAGAAAGGAAAATGCTCATAAAACATTTTTTTTAGGTTGAAAAGTGGACCTCGCAAAGTCATGTCCACTGGGAATATACGTTAAACTATTTCTATTTTATGCGAATTACTTTACGTACAACTCTCTTTTACTAGATTTGGTGCTAGTGTACGTGATTTTGCTTCTTCTTATCCTTATCATACCACTACTTGTCAACAATACTACTATAACTAGGATAAGACCTGCGCCTTGCGCAGGGTAAATGTATGTAATTAAAATATAAAATTTTAGTATTGACAAATTTAAATTTTACATATAATTGTTTTTATATATATTTGAAATTTTAGAATTTTAGAATTTTATATAATTATATATACGTATGATCAGAAATAATTGTAATTACAAATGTAGATCAAAGTTTAGAATTTAATGGACCCAATTTCATATATTTTTTCACTTTTTAGTGTTCGAGTGATGAAACAATAAATATTTGATATATGCGACCAACTATAGCCTACGAAATATTATATTGCTAGACAGTATAATTTTTAGACTATACAGTATATTATACGCTCTAGAATCCTTCTAAATTAAAATAGAAGACAAAGATCTATACCACATAAGATTAGGGTTATTTTTAATTATTACAAACTTAAAGTTATAATTTTTAAATGATTATATTTTAATATATAGGGGATAATAACAACAAAATTGGATAAAGTATTCTCGGTCCTTCTCAATCTGAATCTTCATTGGTAATCTTTTTTTGCATAAAACATCAAAATCCCCCTAATTAAAGCCTAAATTAAAACACGAATATTGTGTATAGAATCTTGCTA